AAGAAACAAACTTATGACATCCCCATCAAATATAATTGTTGTTTTGAGCCATTGTGTGTGTAGAATTTTAAGATACGTGATTTGCTTCTTCTGAGTGAGAACTATTTTTATTTGAAGTATGCTAAAGAAATTTCCAAATTATGAGAGTATTTTACTAGTTGTAAATAGACATAGAGGCCAAAGCATATACTCCATAAATAAATGCTGGGTAAAAATTTCTGCCTAGTAACTTGGTCATCAGAGTCATGCAAATATTGATTAAGAATCAAAAAATTTTAACTCTTTAGTTTTGTTTCCCAAAAATTGAATTTACCTTTAACTGAAATTTTCTAGCATGTATTAATTACATACTGCGTGTGTAATAATTACAGTGTTGACGGGAAATGGAATAGAAAAGGATAGTTTGAACAAAGTCACGTCAGCCATTTGACACAGTGGAAGATAAATAGAATCAGAGAGTCCTAGGAGTTTATAAGAACAAAACAAAGGAATAAGAAATATGCTGCTGTTGCTTTTCTAGGGGGAAATAAATGAATTCCAGTAAGGCAGTGGGAATTTGGACATCTTGTCTTTGTTCTAGAGGAGATTGGTACCATAAGAGTGCGTCAGAAAACTCAGAGAGATAATATAACTTGAGATAGACATGACAGTATTGTGGAGACTTTTAGATTTTTCTCTCATTGAGTTAAACTTGTTTTTTAAAGTGAAAATTTCCAAATAAAGGGTAACATTTTACCAAAGCAATAATTATTCTAGTAAATTCAATATATTTATTTCTGTAAACAGTATGTTTCTCAAAACAGTAATTCTTTAGTAAAAATATTCTGCTCTTTCCCCCCCGAAGAGAATCTGTCTCTCTTCTTAAAGTAGCTTGGATTAGCAGAACCACCTCTGGCGACTCTGCCAGAGTCCATGCTGCCTGAACTCCATGTTTCTGCTGGAGTGCAGGTCAAGGCTGCAAACAACTGGGAGCTGTTCCTGAAGGCTACTTTGCCTTTTTAGGGTAAGAGGGTCTCTCTGTGTTTAGGATAACATGATTGACAGCTCCACTCCAGCTCCAATTAGCATCCTATAATTTATTAGCTTCTGCTTTCAGATTATGCGTTAACTTCACAAATATTTCAACCACGGAACCAGCAGCTATCAAGTGTCCCTTTCCTGATCCAGCCCTCTGGGGCTGGAGTGAAATATAAGGAAAGAGCGGTACAGTTGGTCTGTCAAGTGAGAATAATCATTTGTGTCTGTGCCTGTCTGAGGGCACCATGTCTCTGATTTCCCTTTAGGCTTGCATCAGAGATAGAGAGAGAGAGAGAGAGAGGGAGGGAGAGAAAGAGATCTATAGATGGATTCTATTGTGAGGTACCATATTTATATTATTAGAGTTTCATTTATTCATGAAAGATGAGGGAAAGCTGGTGTTGAGAAATGTGAAATTTATGTTTGCTTAACCCCATTGCTTGTGTAAATGTCAAAACTTCAGTTATGTACATGCAGCAAATCTAATAATGACACTGCCTTTTGGACATTTATTCCTTCACTCCAAATTTTAGGGTTATGTAATCGATAATGAATAATAATAAATCCTAAAAATCTTGCCAGGAAAGTGGAATATATGGAATATGGACTTTAATAAGTATGATCAAAATGTAAATTATTTGCAAGCATCTTGTCAACAGAATATTAAGACAATTTTATAAAGGAATCCTATTTTTTTTGTTTCATTTAATTTTAAAGTCTTTTCAGATATCTTTCAATTTTCTTTTCATGCTTTGACATTGTAGGAATTACATTTAAAATGCAATTTATAGACATAGCATTTATATGAAAAGCAGTTTGTCTAAGTCTTTTTTTTTTTATCTCCTCCAACCCCAAAGCAATTAGTCCCTTAGTATTAAAAAAAAAAAAAAATCCTGTTTATTTTGGTAGAAAGGGTATGGGTAACCACACCTAAACCCAGAATTTATGATTCTGAGCAAATTGGAGGTTAAATTGATCTTAAGAGTTGTTTCCTCTGATAAAAAGGGCACAGAAAGAGCAGACTTACACAGAAAGAGTGGCAAGAGAAGCTTCCCTTCAGGAGATTCAACTCCTAACCTCTACCACCTCTGCCTTCCTTCCCATCCAGGCTCAAATCAATCTTAAATCATTGCTAGAATTTGCCACACATTGAAATAGAACTTCAAAGGGGAAATGAGACAGGATGGCAAGTCCTTTTAAACTAAAGGAGTAGAACAGATAGAGTTCCCTGAAGTTGGGTGACTGAGTTCTCAGCCAGAAGGCAATCGGCAGAAGGATTACTTGGTGGCGGAGAGCTGTCTCTCCCCTTTTCATCACCTCTCCCTCAGCTGAGGCCAAGCACACAGGGAACACTGCATGAGGAGGCCACTAGTGCCAGTGGGGATGAGTAGAGAAGAAGCTTATCTTTCTCTCAGGCCCCCCAAACAGATAGAACACATGTGAAAACGTCATGTTGGGCTTTCCCTGTGTCATCCTTCATTCCCTTGAATGTCCTTTTATCAACGACCAGGGCCTTCTCTAATCTGCACCATTTCATGGGTATTAACAAGACGGACATGAGAATTCATATTTTGCATGAATTTGGGGGGGGTCTAAAGCATGTCTGTTAGGATTTTAATTCACCCAAGTTCTCTCCGATGCTTTTATGACACAGAATCATTACAGTTCTAGGACATCTTGCGTTTCTACTCGGGGAATGTCTAACATGGAGAGAAATGCTGTCATCTGAGTGTCCCGTGTGCCAGGTTGCTGGAGCCCGGCTCAGCATTCTGGATGGTCTGGTTAGGACTGCCCCAAAGGCCAGTTCCAGTGAATGAGTCTCCTCATCTGCAACCTGATATTCAGGTCAGATGCAGCTCAGGGGAGAGGCTTCGGGAGTCAGAACCTTGTGGCTAGGCAAATGCTCCCTGTGGGTTCTGAGCAGAGATCCTGAGAGTGCTAACACAGTGGAGCATGGGCACAGTGTCCCCCAGTGGGGACTGTCTGGAGACAATGTCCTGCAAAGAACACACCACGTGCTTTCTTCTTCAATGGCATACTCAGCGGCAAATTCTCCAAAGCGAGCTGGGACTTAATGCATTTTACTTATGCTTGTATATACTAGTGATCCGTGCCAATGGAACATGGATTAAAAAAAATCCACTGAGAAGTCCAGAGTTAATTTTAGTTATTGCTTCAGTGTCCAAACCTCAGGCTAACTCTTACACCACTCGGTCGGTTGGGTGTGAAGAGCTTCAGGGCAGTGAAGTCTGCTAAATACTGAAATGAATTAATAAGAGAAGCAGTAATAATTCCCTCCTGGAGAAGAATGGAAATGTGCATCTGACTGAATGGTCTATAGATAGTATCATTTGATGAAGAGGTGTGAAAATGTCCTATGATAGTTCCTTGGAGACTGGGGATTCCGTAAGGTCTATGGTATGTCAGCCTTGGCTGCCCTACCTCTTTCCCGGTCCTTCTTCATCTACTGTGGAGGAGAAAGTAAACCCAAAGTTGAGCCTCCCAAGATGAGTCAGAAGAAGTCAAGGAGCCTATGTGGTGGGTAACAGCGCAGTCTCTGCACGCAGGTGGCCTGGGTTGGCGTCCTGGCTCTGCCACTCACTGGCTGTGGACTAGGCAAATTATTTCTCCCCTGAGAGCCTTGGTTATCTCATGGGTAAGAAGGGGGTTGTTATAATAAATACACATAGAATTGCTGTGAGACTTAAATGAGTTAACCTGCATATGAAGCCCTCAGACCAGTGCTCGAGAAACAATCAACATCAGTTATTACGAGTGCTGTCACATCTGATGCAGCATAATCATCGGGTACCTTCCATAGAAGCAAGACAAGTAACAGGTTCTCGTAATAGTCATAATCTACTACACTCCTGCCTAGATGATAGAACAAGGCGATGGCTACCTTCACTGAGCGATATTCCGAGTTAGGTCCCTTACCGTCCCCGACTCTTAAGACTATTATCCAAGAAAAACTGTATTTGTTTCTCATGTTATAATGAAGGTCAAGATTTGAACTAATATTTTTATGCTTTAACAATCTAGAAGGGCAATTTGAACATGACACAAAATATTGCTTTCAGGCATTTCAGTGAATGAATACAATTTTGGCATCAAGAGAAAATTAAGAGAACAGACCCCTAATTTCCTAAATATCAATCTCTCTCTCTCCTCTTTCTTTTTTCTTGCCTTATAGTAGGTTTGTTTTCTTAGCCTACCTTATTAAACTGTAATATAACCAATACTTCAAAAATGCTTTTTAACTGACTACTGTCTTGAGAGTCTAGAATGGAAGAAGCAACAGTAATTCTCTTCTGGAGAATAACAAATGTGACAGGTAAGCCCTGGACTTCTGTGGGCCACAATTTTCTCATTTGTGAAACAGATGTGGGATACCTAACTTCTCATTCCCAGGGTTGATGTCAAGTGGAAAAGGGTTAAAGGCTTTCACAGAATGGCAAACACTTTGGAAAAACAAGAAGCACTATATACATAAAGTAGTATTAGTTACTGACATCAGATTGTACTACTATAAATTATTTTATTCTACTCAAGAAAGACTAAGACATTTATTTTCTTTTCATGAAATAACACAGCGACCCTGTAGTAAAGAGACATTTTTACTGTTCATTTCTTCTTCCTCATCACCTTCAGCTTTGCCCACACACAGACCCCTTCCCCTGTGCCAAAATGAAAGTGACCAAATGGTAAACACAGAGACTGAGAGGAATATATGAGGTATTAGAGACTCTGTGGACATTTCTTCCCCTTATGTTGATTCTTGGTTCTTCTTCATGGAGACAGTTCGGGTTTCTTGCTGCTTTCCCCACCACCCCCCACCCCCACCAATCCAGAGAGGAGGATGAAAGGAGAGATGGAATTTGTGGGAGAGAAGGCAGAGAAGGGTTTCTTCTTTCATCGTAAAATGTTCCCCGTAAAAAATATGATATATCCACACACACACACACACACACACACACAAACACACACACACACACACACACACATATAAAATAGATCCAGTGCAATTGCAATTGTCGTGCCAAACACTGGGAAGTGCCACCTTGGTCGATGTATTTCTGGAGTTTTCAACAGTTGTCCTACAACAGCTGCATTTCAGTAAGACTTGGGCAGATGGCTCCAGATAAGCCACTTGCCACTCACATTTAGGCTGAGGCTTCCATGTTCACAGTCCGAAGGAAAAGAGTGTGTCTTTTTGTGTCTGGAGTGGGTGTTGCTGGGAGGGAGTGGGCACGAAGGGAGCTGGAGGCCTTGAGGTGGGGAAGAAGGAATTGGCCTCTTTTACTTCTCTACCACAGTCTTCGATGCAAATACAAATACATTTTAAATGTGAGGATACAGACATCAGGAGAGCGATGGTCACACTACTTAATGACATAATTCACATCAGCATAGAAAATATTCACACCAGAAAGTCTCTTTTTTTCCTCCTCTTTCCAAGAAAACTTACGACAACATATCACCTAAGTGAGTTCACCACAGGTATTTCCAGTGATTTGCCCAAAAGTCATTAAACATGAGTCAGAGTCTTTGGATCTGCTCTTTCCGCAGAAGGAATATAGTTAGACAAAGTTTCTGAAGAGGCATGTTTTGGTTTTCCCAACACGTGGAGATGTCTGAAGTCTCTGCCTTCCCCCACATCCTCATCCATGAAGTGAGAGGTCCAGATGCTGAACCTCCGTGGCTGGTCAGAAGGGAAAGGGAAGGGGAAACCTGGGGCCATCAGATCAGCTCAGGAGGGATGTGCCACAGAGGGAATAACGACGAGCTGCAAACCAAGATCAGAAGCCATTACAAACCCACTCGATTTCAGCTCTGAGCATCAGCAACTGGCGCTAGGCAGAGACCTACAGGGAACAAGGTGGGCAGTCTAAAACCAGTGCAGATCCTTGCTTTTGTCCTGACGCTGGAAACCTGAAAACAGAGAGAAAACAAAAGAAAGAGAGAGAAAGAGGGAGAGGAGAAATAGAGAGGGACAGAGAAGGGGTTGAGGGCAGGAAGGCACAGGTATTTAAGGAAAGAGAAAGACAAACACCACTGTTTTATTGTGAATGTCACAGAATTCACTTAAAGGGCCTGAATGAAAGTAAAAGCCAAGCCAACAGAAATGTCAAATCTTCACCTGAAGAAAGGGCACGTGGGCAAGACTACAAGCCAATGATTATGTTTATAGTATAAACCATTTTTTGGTTATGCCCTAAAAATAAAGGAAGCAGAAGAATGTACTTTTCAAATTCAACTCCTTAAGCCAGAAACTCAATATAGTCATCGAAACCACATTCTCTTTAATTTTTACATTTTAAGAGACCTATTTAACTTGGCAATTAGTTTGATATCAGAAGCACATTTTTCTTTCCTTAAAATTGTCACTAGGACACAATACGCCCCCACCCCCCTAGCTGTAAAAGATTTTGAACTACACTTTTAGCTCTAGGTACTCTAGATCCGCGCTGTCCAATAAAAACACAATGGGAGCCGCAGGCATAATTCTAAATTTTCTAGCAGCCACATTGGAAAAAAAGTAAAAAGAACCAGGTGAGAATTCATCTTAGTAATATATTTTATTTAACCCAATATGTTCAATACGCAATGTGTCGAAAGTATTCCAACATGCAGTCAACATAAATATCAGTGAGATGAATTGTACATTTTTCCTTGTACAGTTTTGAAATCCAGTGTGTCGTTTGCGTGTACAGCACATCCCAATTCTTCCTAGCCACTTTTGAAGCGCTCAACAGGTTCGTGTGGCTAGCGCTTACAGAATTGAACAGCGCAGAGCTAGAACCGTTTTAACTGTTTGCTTGCTTGCTTGCTTATTTAAATTTGGAAAAAAAAAAATCCTCTATTGTATCTACTAGCCAGGTTAGGGCAGTGTCTTTCTTTCTCTTTCTGCCCACACCGACGACACTGGGTCATCTGCCTGCTGAAGCGCAACCCTGACATGCAGACCTTTGGGCCAAAAGGTCACTGGGGTCTCCAAGGAGAACTAAGGGGGATCCGGGGCTCAGCCCAGGGTCGGACACAGGGCAGGAGGGGTCCGGGGAGACCAAGCTCCCTTTCCCGCTTACCTGAGTCCACGCTGAGTCCCAGACCCTGGGCCACGTCCCCCGCGGGGCTGGCGAAAGGTCCTCCGGGCGCGGCCCACGCGGCGCCGGTCTGCTCGCCCTTGGCGGAGAGCTCGCAGGGCGGGCTGCCGGGAGCCGGCGCCGGGGCTGGCGCGAGGCGAGCCGCGCGCCCTGAGGCTGCGGGCATCAGCAGCGGCCCGTAGCGCGGGTCGAAGTGCGGCGCGTAGACCTCGTGCACCGCGGCGGGCCGCGGGTAGGCGGCAGCCTGGGCGCCAAGAGCGCTGCCCAGCGCGTACGGGTGGTGCGGGTGCGGGTGCGCGTGGTGCGGATGCGCGTGGTGCCAGGGCTCCGCCGCGCCCTGGTGCAGATGACTGTGCAGCGCGGCCGGTGAGTAGGGGTCAGCGGCGGCGAAGGGCAGCTCCGAGTGCGCGGCGGCCAGCGGGCTGCCCAGCGGCGCGGGCACCGGTGCCTGGTACGCGCTGTTCCAGAAGGAGGCGGGGAAGCTGCGCTGGCTCATCGGGAAGGAGCCGTCTGCAGGCCGGCGAGGCGGAGGGGAGGAAAGGAAGAGAGGAGCGCGTCACCCCGGGGAAGATGGAAGCGCCAACCCCGCACCGCGGGAAAGCTGAAGGCGCCAGGCTGGCACCCGGCGGGAAAGCCGTGGCGGAGAGAGGACCTGTAGCCCGGCCTCGGGGGCGGCGCCTTTCTGGGGGTGCTGCAGCCCGCGAATACGAGGTTGAGGCACCGCAAAATAGGGAAAACCCTTTGGGAAGGAGGACCGCTTCCTCGGAGTTTGCAGACGCGTCTCCAGTGCGGAAACCCCAGGACAGACTGGGAGAGGAAGAAAGGAGAGACACTCCCTTCAGTTCCAGTTTTGGGGCGCAGGGAGCTTCCTCCGACTCCAGGTTGCTCTGCCCCGGCGGCCTCGGGGTAGACGCGGCCTCCCTGTCCCAGCCCGCATCCTCTTCCCTAGCTAAAGATACCTCTTCTCACTCCTGGTCAGCCGCCTAGCGATTTCACTACCCGCTCTCGCGTTTCAGCCTCCCCAGCTCCAGAAAATGTGCCCCTCCAAGGCCTCTGATAGACTGGAAGTCCATCGACATATTTCAAAGTCTTGCTATTATTAGCCTCCTTTCTAGAAACCTTCTTTCAAATATTTTTTTCCAAGAACTCAAGCGAAAGAATAAATTGGACATATTAAAGGAGCAGTTGTATTATTTGCAGAGGGACACAAAGGGACGATCTTTAAAGTTTTAATTAGTAATATTTGTCCCTTGAAGTGTGGACGCCAGGAATAATAATAATTCTTATGGCCAGTTATCACTGTTGACCCCTAGCACTGGGAAGCATTTTAAGAGAACAACAGCATTTAGATAAAATTTATTGTGTTTAGTGAAAAGGGAGGGAAAAAAAGATATATAATGCCTGGGGGCTTGATCCAGGACCTCCTCTAGGGAAGGCATCTGTCCCACATACTAGAGAATTAAAAATGTTTTGAAAATGCATTCTAAGTAGCAAACAATCTTCCTGTTAAAAATATTTAGGCAACTGGAGAATAAAAAGAATGTTCTGTATTCCAAACTAATGATTTGGGATCTTATTTAGGCACAAACTGTCAGACACTCTTAAGAGAAAAAGGGAGGGTGAGGGTTGTCATTTCCCACACCCCCAATGTAATATTTGTTTTCTTTTTACAAAATCCTCATTTCTCATCTTAGTACAACACATCAAAAATTAAGTTTAGTGAGAAAGCTTACCCCCAAATAGTTACCCCCACCCTTGCCCTGGGACTAAAAGGAGATTGAGATTTCAGAATAGAAGGGAGCTTTAGTTGACCTGACCAATAAATCATTGTCCCAGGCTAGATAAAGCAGTGCTTTGTGAGAAGGGTAGAACAATAAAGAGGGGATGTGTTTGGGGAAAACCCTTAGAGATGTTTTGACTGTACCTAAATTTTTATTTCTTTGGTACTTTACTTGCTTACTGAAAGACATTTTCTGCATCAAGTTTTGCTAAGCAGCTGAAGCCTGGCAAAAAGCATACATACATACGTTTTAAGAGACATTCATCAGGAGGTTTTGCTTCCAGTGGAATCTAGGACTTTTTCCTCTGGGCAAATTTTCAGGAACTGCTAAGCACCCTGGAGGTTGTTGTAGGTGAAGACCTTCCTCGTGGCTTGGGACAATGCTGGAAGCTTCACATTCCCACAGCACTTTTACATACATTTTTCTATTTGCCGGACAGCCATCTCCAGGTACAGTTAAGAGGGTGAGTATTATTCTAATTTTGGAGACCGATAAATAGAGTGACCTCAAAAGGGTTAAAAGACTTGCCCAAGGTCATATTGCTAGGATATGCAGGGCCCTCGGGAAAATGCAGGTCTCTCAGGTCCAAGGCTAGTGGCTTTTGTAGGTCACTGCTCTGCTCTGCCTCTTCAAAGGAGAGATTTTTCCCCCCTTCCTTCCTTTTACCTACCCTCTCCACAAGCCCCGTCCTCACCTCCTCTCTGACACCTAGTATTCTTTTGGCTGCCTTTCCTAGGTGGGCTCAGGCCTAGAGGGCTCTGTATCTGCCCTTAGAAGTGGGCCTTTCACTCACCCCGCCAGGGCCCGGAGCTCCTGGGTGCTTTGTTGCTTGTACAGCTCGGGGAATAGCTGCTAGGCTGGCTCAGGGCCCTACTGAAGTGCTCGTCCACCACAGAGCTGATGTCCCCCTGGAAATAGGTGAAGAGGACGCAGCGGGAGTTGATGTACTCGGCCTCCGGTGGGCGCTCTTTCTCTGGGCTGCCTTCTTCCTCTTTGATACTGGCTGGAGTTTGGCTGGAAAAGGAGGAGCTGCCACTGCCCGTGCTGTTGCTGGGGCTGGCGGTGCACTCTTGGGCTTCCTGCATTTTGGAGTAATAGGCTAGTTTCTGCTCCAAGAGAGAAAGAACAGAGAGGTCAATTTCAAAAGAGATGGCAAATTGGGTTCCCACTTCACTCCCTCAGATCGCTAAGGTATCCAGGGGGAAAAGTGGCATCCAGGCCCTAAGCCCTGTGCTCCTTGAGCAGCCAACCGCCCTTCTTGGTGTCTCCATCTCCCCCGACTTGCTGCCAGGCCACAGGGAAAGCTCTCTGAAGATGTTAGGGGAAAAGACCCAGAAGATGCCAGGATAGGAGCGGAGTTTAACCACAGAGCCAGGCTCGGGGCAGATATATTTTTTTAAATCAGGCTCCAGGGATAAAGGGCACCCAAGTCCAGTTAGGGCCTGACTGTCCCCTGCCTAAGATTCCAGGGCAGATGCACAGGATGCAGGACTTAAGCATTGTCCCGAGAGAGCACGAAAATGCCAAAATCCACTCCATTGCAGCCAGAAATGTTAAGGAAGAACTGCTACAGAGGTCAGAGATAGTTCCATTTAGGAAAGAATCTAGTGGGGTAAAAATGTGGTGTAACATTCTAATATGGATCATGTGCATAAACGCAAGTTGATATTTGTTTGGTCACCCATAAACTGTCTACTTAAAAGTCTATCTCAGTTTTTAAAGAGCTCTTCTTTTGAATAACAACAACAACAACAACAACAACAAAAAACCAGTGGACTAGGAGCATTTCGACCCTCACCATCTCTGGGCACATTGAGGAAACAAGTAATAACAAGGAACGAAGAAGATCTTGGCTGTAAGGATTGGTAAATTGTGGCTGTCTTGTAGCAATTTTAAAAACCAAATGTAGCTGCTGAAATATTTTCTTAGAAATGAGCAATAGACTGAATGCCGGGTTAAGACATTTATGCAGGCGGAGGTGGTCTTGAAGCAGGCTGATCACACAAAAATGAGCAGAGAACTGAATGGCATAGGTTGGGTTGGTCCAGGGTCAGGGAGGAGAAAGGACCAAACAGAAAACCAACCCATCTCTCCTCCTTGCAATAGTTCCAGCCTGGGAAGGAGCCATCTCAGACTCTGAAACCAAAAGACTGGAGTTACTTAGTGGTAAGTATCGCCAGTTCCACCACATTCCCCGCTTGGCTTATAATAAGGGACTCTGATGATTCCCTAAATTAACATCGTGAGACTAGACAAAGTCCTAGATGGAAAGTTTAAAAGGGGGAGGGGGTTACAAAGAAAAGGCAAAAAGCAAAACCTACACCTGCCATCATTAATGCATCAGGAAATTTTCGAAGGGACATTCTGAATTCGCAGTCAAATTTGGCAAAAACTTGGAGGGGTGGGGGGAGGGTGGGGTGTATTTCAGTCTCTCTTGAATAGGAGGAGTCAGGCCCTCACTTTGGAACCTGCTTCCGACTCCTAAGTCCCCCTGGGTGTGTGATCTTATTCTCTTACTGGACTACGGTCTTCAGTTTCGACAATATCGGCTGAGACGCGGAAAGAAAAATTGGTCTACCAGACTCAGCCGGGAGAAGAGAGGAATTGAAATAATTAATCGAAACTTCAAGAGTTTGCCGAAACGGGGTAAGGGGTCTTCTTACAGGTGGGTTTGTGGACGACAGGAGAGCCTGATGCAGCCACTCAGGCTCTAGAAAGGCGAACTACTATCTCCGACGCTCGCACCCGCCAGGTCAATTGCACCCCAATAATAATCCCCAGAACTTTGCAGAGCAAAGATTATAAAACCCACGCTTTCACGCAGTTCTCTTTGTAACGAATTCTCTGTTTTCGGAATTAATTGGTCTGATCCCTTGAGAACTGAAACGGGAAAAATGTTACTCCTTAGATAAACTTGCAGGGGTGAGAACGCAGGCCTTTGTATTTTAGACAGAAAGGGACCGGTCTTTGCTTTTGTTCTCGTCACTCTCACCTTTGAGACCAAAGTTTGGTTTTCCCTGCGCGAGCTTTGCTCTCATCTCCCCTCGCCCGCACCGAAGAATCTGTGGAGTCCGACAGATCGCTCGCGCGATCCTCGTGTGATCGTTCCCCGGAAGCACCGGGCACGCATTAGCAGGGTTTAGCTGCCTTCCCGAGAGAGCAAGTGGACAAGCTAAGGGTTAGCTCAACCTATCGTGTGGCAGCGCCGGCAATCCCCACATCCCCAGGGCTCCCGCCGCTGGTAGGACGCCCCGGACCAGTGCGGAGGTGCCCTGGACCCCGGGGTGCAGGCGGTGCTCCAGGAAGCAGGGGCGCGCCACCCGTCTCCAACGTCCCGGCCCGGGGAGAGACACTTACCTGGTGGTAGGGGGTGTAGGCGGCTGCAAAGTAAGGCTGCGGAGGACCATAGACTTGGTACATAACATCCAGACAGCTCATGGCTCCCCGCTGCGAAGACGGCTAAGTGATTTTTCATCAACTCTGGGTCGGTGGAACGCAGTGATGCTGCATGGGCGGCGCTTGGACCTGAGCTCCGGAGTCATCGGCGGCGGAGCGGTGGCCAGCGCGCTCACCGGCTCGGGATCCCGCTCGCAGGCTCCCCTCCCACCCCAGCAATTTCAACCCAGACCGCGCTCCGGGATGGAAGCGCCCGGGCTCCCGCTAGTGGGCATTTAAACCCCACGCTGGACTGGCGTGCTGACGCCACTCCCGGCCGCGGAGGGGGCGGGGACCGGGGGGCCAATGGGGAGCCAGGGACTGGGCCCGACGGGCTACCGGCGTGTTTCCCCCGGCTGCCCCGCGGCGAGCTGGTAGCCAAGGGTGCGGTGAACTGCTCAACTCCGAGCCTGAGCCCTGAGGCTTCGCACCAAGAGAAGCAGGATTCCCAGGCTAAAGCTGGACAGGGAAGCAAACCAAGACAGAGACAGAAAAGGCAGAGAGGGAGAGAGGAGTGCAGGAGAGGGAAAGTGGGGGTTCTCGCACTTGGGGGGGATAAAGAAGTTTGATGCGTGGTGGCAAAGGTCCCGTGGGAGAGCCGCAGCCTCAGACTGGACGGTTGAGAGTGTGTGAGTCCGGGGGTGGCCAGGTGGCGCAGATTATCTGCTCTCGGCTTCTAGTGAGGGCCGGGAGGAACAGCGCGCTCCCCAGGAATCCCCTAGGGTATCCGTGTCACCTCAGACAGGAAGTCCAGGGAGTCGGGAGACTCCTGCCGGGCGCGGAGGAGCTTCCTCTGCCGGGGAAATGGCAATGGCTGGAGCCGGTAATGACCGCCCTTTTGCGCCTCCTCGGACCCAGCCCGCCCGCCCGCCGCCAGCCTCCACACCTCAATTCCGCTCACTGGGGTCGGTCCCTCCTGCCTCTTTAGCGTTCCATCCTGACACATTCTCTTGGAAGTCCTCCACCCAAACTCGCTCCGTCGGCGCTGTTCGCTCCTTGCCTCCGGTGGCTCCCGGAGAGAGTTGCTTTCGAGGAGTCCAGGAAGCCCTACCCAATCCCTTGCAGCCCCGGGTCTCCACGGCCTGAAGTCCTTTTAAGTTACCGCAACTTTTTGGGACGAGGACTTATTGACTGAAAGAGGAGTCATTAGGGAATGCAGGAAGTCAGAGGGGACTTTTGCTGCCTCTTCAACCAGTAAAGCGGGAGCGGCGATTTTATGTTTTATTTTAGACGGTTGAAAGATTGCGTTTCAATTGTGAAACGTACATGGCTGTTCTCTTTCCTGCCGAGAGCTCTCCTGGCTCGAAGGGGCTTCCTGCGACGCTCTTCATCCTTCCCGAAGCACTCCCCACTCCCAACACAGCCCCTGGGGAGCAGGGTTTCACAGTGGAGTCCTCCGTCCCGTAAGTTTAGGGATGAATCGAGACAACACTGTCGGTGTGGCTGGATCAGGGGGGTGGAAAGGGCATTACAGGAATAGTGGTGGGCCTGACTTGAGAGGGCGGCGGGGGCAGAACTTGGGAACACTGAGAGGCCAGAACCAAGGAAGAGGCAGCGTGAATCACGAACTCCAGTTATTACCCAGTTTAAAAACAACAAAAATTCTGACATCGATTCCCAGGTTGTAAAACTGCCAACAAATGAACCCTTAAAGATATATTTGTCTTCAAAACGTGAATATTTATGCCAAATTGTTTTCAGGTTGAGGTTTTGGTTTTGCCCGAGTAATAAATGCGTATTGGCTGGCTCCAAGTCTCAGTTCGTTTTATAAATGGTGCGGTGTCCCAAGCGACCGAAGAGTTTAAGTACAACGTCGACTTTAAAGAAAGTTAAAATAAATGAAAACAAAACAAAACAAAGACACCACTCAGTCCAGTTTTACGCAAGCCTTTTTAGGGTCCAGATTGCCTCCTGCTGAGCTGGGCGGGCTCCTAGAGTCTTTGGCGATCTAGGTGCATGGGTGGAGCAGAACACCCTTCCCGCCCCCCAACTCAACCCTCCCGCCCAGGGTGTTTCGGAGGAGTCGCCTTTGTTTCCTCTGGAGGCTAAAGAGCGAACCTTCATCCAAAGAGCCGCAGTGTGCCCTCCCGGAGGCGGGAAGTGGTCGTGTAGGTCCGAGTCTTCCTCGCCGCCTAGGCGCGCGGGAGCTTCGGAGGGCCGCTCCGCCCTGCCCCGCACCTGGTTCAGGCTCCGCCAGCCCGCGCTCGCGGAGTCAACTCTGAGCTGGAGCGGAGGTGCCCACGCAGCCGCCGCGCCCACGACAGATCATGGCCAGTTGGCGCGACTACGGAAGGTCACACTCTCCCCTTCTGCACAGGTCCTCTGTCTATCTGTGGACACAGAGTTTCTACTTTGGCTTCCTCCAGCTAGAGCATCTCCGGGGGGACTGAGCGTCCTTCGCCGCAGCGCACTCCTTTCCGCGCTACCCAGGCTCGGCGTCGTGGCAGGCGGCCCGCAGTACCTCGTGGTTAAATCGCTGGGACATGAGTGCCTGATCGCGCGCCTAGAGAGGGCTGGGCATCTCCATTCTTGTCCTGGCTCACCTTCCAGGGGGTACCTCCTATCCCCCGTACCCATCACTTTGATATTTTTACTTGACTTTGACAATGGGACCAGGGGAACTTTGGCTTTCCCACAAATTCAGGAGAAAATAACGACAACCTCTTCGCATCCAGCGAGGTTCAGCAAAATGGTAGTTATGTTTGAAGAGGATTACAGGAGCGGTGACATCCCACGTTTCCAACAAAGACAATGAAGCGAATGTTATGCCAGTTGCCTAAGGCTGCTTTCTTTTCACATTTCTCAATCTCCCGTAGTTGAACCAGTTTTTGAAAACCTTGCTCAGGCTAAGTAAGGGTACTGGTTGCTCAGGAGTTTAAAGGAACACAGGGAATTGGGGCCAGTAAACATCGATTTGAATTTATTGAGGAAAAGAGTTGCTTCTTCCCAAATCCAAGGTAGGGAAGAAAAATGAAGAGTCGGAAGCTTACAGTACGCCCACTGATTGGAGCAAGGTCAGTTCTTTTCGTGTACCTGGAAAGCTGTCCTTGACACAAAGGTGGTATTTCTCTATCAGAGGAGATTGTGTCTTGGCTACATGCTGAAGTAGGAAAGTAAAACAACTAAATTGAATCCCCTCTGCCTCCTCTACTCTCGAAGACCTTCAAACCACCAGGACATGAACTCATCAAAGAAGTGACAAACCACCAGGACTTGAACTCAAGGAAGTTGGGATATTTTGATACATAACCTTGGAAATGGACTACGGAAAATGGGGAGGAAATTCTCTTCCTTCCTTCCCCTCTCTCTCTTTCCTCCAGTTATTTTAGAAGAGACTACACACAGACAGTTATATGTCCCTGAATTTGGCTCTCCTGACAAATGTATCAACATTCTCAGAAAGGTCCACTATTACCATGACAGCTATCTAACTGCCTTTTAACATCCTAAAGGGGCAGAGGGAATATCTTTTAGAAATGAATATTCTTTTAGAAATGACTTCCACTTTATGATAGCTTCATGGCAATTTATTGAGCATTTGCCAAATGAAAGTAGTTAATTCTACCAAAATTTCCTTTTGGTATCCCATTTTAGGGTTCGATTCTTTTTTTCCCCCCTAGTGTGCAATTCTAACAATATCTAGAACTGTGAAAATAAAAGGTGCCTTTACTCTTGAAGTTAACTTCAAGCGAAGTTAATTGCTTTTGAATGATTACATGTTTCAAGATATCACAATGAAATACTTTATTTTGTCTTCAGGAGGATTGTCTATCATTTTCCTAAGCTAATTGACTTCAATACCTTCAGAATTTTTCCATCCACCTGTGTCATCTTATTCTGAAAACTGCAAAGAAGCAACTTAAAGGAAGAATGTCAGAATAGAACAAATTTGGAGAACTGACCTGCAGCTATCCCAGGCCCTCCCTCACCCATGATTTATTTGGATCATTGACTGTTGGCATTTTATGTTGCCTTATGCTGCCAACCAAAGGAGATGAACACAGTGGTAATCTCATAGGCTTTTGTTTAACCCCTAAACCCATCCTGGCCTGTTTTACAGAGCAGAGATGTGTTTAGAATTTGAGAGCAGCTGACAAGATTTTTTTTACAATATTAGTTGAAAAGATGTCTGTGAACGTCAGGTTTTTGGGGGCACAGTGTATTATTTAACATTGATACACTGGTAACTAATAGGGAATCTGAATGGTGATTTTATTAAAAAAAAAAAAGAAAGAAAGAAAGAGACATTTCTGGGCTAAAGCTCACTAAAAAGCTAAGTAGAGGAATTCCCGTTGGACTTAGTGAAAAACCAAGACAAAGAGGATTCAACTCTTTTTTTTCCTTTTTTTTTTTTTTTTTTTAGAGCCTGATGTGGGATCCATCCCAGAACCTGGGATCATGACCTGAGCTGAAGGCAGACACTTAACCTCCTGAGCCACCTAGGTGTCCCAAATTCAAATTCAATTATTTCCATACAAACTTAGAATAGTTCTTAATGTTTTTAAGTAAAAACCTCCATGGTCTATCCTAATGAATAGAGGAGACTACTTTGTAACTATTGACATACATTTAATTACTATAATATTAAACATTTCCTCTTTCATATTTTAAAGACTATTTTCATGTTACATACAAATCAACTTCAGCTTAGGTGAAATCACAACTTTCTGAATTTAGTTTTCTCTTAAGTTCTTATTGATGTCAATAACCAGTTCTAAGATTGAAAAATATATTTAATACCACATTCATCTTTTAGAAGTAAGTTCTTTTTAATGAGTCTCTAGGAAATGCTTAGTATAAAGATATCATTATAAAAATTCATATGATTCATACCTTTCAAAATGATAATGTACAAATGGCAAAAAGAGAGATTTGGAATAGCGGTGTGTGAAATATTTTGGCTTGCTATGTTTTTACAAGAGAGTAAATGAAGGAAATTTACATTCTCTGATTGTCTGACTTGGACACAAAGAGTTAAGTCAGAGAGCACGTATCAATTACATCTTAATGGGGAGAAGTTTTCATCTTTACTTGGCTGCAAAAGTCACTCTAATTGTCTTTAACTTCTGATAATAGTGAAAAAATTATTTTTTAAAGACACACAGTCCGGTGATAACCTAGAAGCTAACATAACTGTGAAACTTCTTTTGTGAGATACAGGGACATAAAGGAATTGCAGATTCAGAAGGTGGAAGTAGA